AAAAAAAAGCGGTTCGTGAGAGAGATTAAGGGGAAGGAGTTAAGAAGAAGGTCGTTGAACAGTCACATGCACAAAATAAATAAAGAGCACGCCAGTGAAGAGGTCAGACGCTTTTAAATGAAATAGATGCTCAAAAGTAGACTGCTTAGCCTGCCGAAATAACGGATCTTGCCGCAGAACGGGTGTTTTAGGATTGCAAGAGTAAAGTATATTGAATATAAAATAAAAATAAAATATATTGAAACATAACGAGGCGGCTAGTATACACTCGCGGGAGAGAACATCTTAATGATCTGGCCCCATACATTTGCTCATACATTTGTTTAAACGTTGGATAGCGACTATCCACCGGATAGGCCACTACCCAGCGGCCTGATAATTTTTTATGTATTTTAGGGAAACCAATTGCGTTATCTACTGGATAGTTATTTATCCAGCGGATAGCGTTATCCACCTTTTAAGCAACTCAGCCCTGGAAAGACGAGACCAAAGATCGCTAATGTCGGGAAACCCATGCGACAAGTATGGGGAAACGTTCTACAGTTTGAATGGAACAGGAACACTTTATGGTGACGCAGTGTTAGAACAGGTCACAGAGTGAGTCATAAGTAATGAGGTAAAGGAATCAGTTAATTCAAAAGTGAATGAAACTACGTTCGCATTCCGAGAAAGAAAGGGCCCTCACCCGCCCTCCCCATCCCACGTCTCCGTCGACCCTGTGTAAATCGTCTAACAAAACTAGTGAGTCTAAAGTGGATTAGGTTTTTCTTTTCTTTATTGGTAAATGTTCATGATTTATCCTTTTTCTTTGCTATTTTTCATTAAAACAAAAGATGAAAAATTGTCCGTTTTTGTTTGTTTGTTTTCTATTTATTGAAAAAATGGAAAAAATTATTCGCAACACTTGTCATTTTTTTCATTTTTCTTGTTGAAACGGGATTATGGAAAATTAGGCGATAGGTATGCCATTTTTCTATTTTTTCATTTTTCTGTTTTTCGATTTTTGGGGAAAAACGGAAAAATCGAAAAATGATCTAAGACTCGGAGATTATTTTATTTTTCTCACTTTTCTAACAATATCAAGAAAATAAAAATAGCAAAATATCGCTTTTAGCCGTTAACAGTATTTTCTGTATTTTTGAATTTAACTTCAAAATTAGAAAAATGAAAAAAATGATCGATTTTCCCGACCATTTTCTTTTTTTCTCTTTTTTTCTGTACTTTGAAATATGCAAATATGATATATTTCCTTTTTCCGTTTTTGTTGGAAAAATGAAAAATTAGATTGGCCGAAGTGTGCACGGACCTATTCAACACATACATATTTTTTTTAAAGTCATTTGTTCCGAATTATATGAACTAAGCCTTTAGCTTATTTGAACTCCAGTTGTGCTGTTGACATTTTATCCGGCAGTACGAAATAAAATCAGCCTATAAGAAAATCTGGAACGACATTGAAAAAAAGTTAGACTGCGAGCAGTCTCTTATTTTTCTTTGCATTACTGCACGCAAAACCTAATCACGCGAGCGGCGAAGTCGCTTGCCGCGGGAAACGAGGCGTAAGCCCGATCGAGAAGAAAAAATAGACCCCTATATAATAACATCGTGGTTTGTAATCGCGCTGGATGAGATCAAGAACTAGACGGATTTCAAGAGAAAAGGCGGACTGCAAGCAGTCTAAAAAGTGAGCATTCAAAAGCCATTTCAAACCCAGTGAAAGGCACGGTAAAGAAACTCGGTTTCAGCCTATGAGAAAAGTGCAAAGAACTCAGGATCTCCTTTGCTAAAGAGCAAAGAGTCTTTGATCCCGTCATCATTGAAGGAAAGGAGGTAGAGTTAGTGACTAGTTCAAAGCTACTAGGCCTTACAATAGCGAACGATCTAACATGGAACGACCATGTAACTGAGATAACCAAAAAGGCTAGCAAGAGACTCTATTTCCTAACTCAGTTGAAGAGAGCGGGAGTTCCGAAACAAGATCTAGCACTGTTCTACGTATCGTGCGTGAGATCTGTTATTGATTATGCAGCACCTGTCTTTTTCAACGGTCTCCCCCAGTACTTAAAGAAAGAGCTAGTACGGCTCGAGAAAAGAGCAATATCAATAATAACCTCACGAAAGTGCAACTCGGCAACAGAGGTGGGGTTAACACCCATTTTGGAGCATTATTACTTACTATGTAGCAGGCTTTTTGATAACATTGTCAGTGATCCAAACCATAAATTGAAGGCGCTCCCTCCACCAGACTATGACAACTCACGCTATAACCTAAGACGACAGCACCCTTTTAATATGCCAAAGCTTTGCACGAACAGAACAAGTAATACTTTTATATTTGCGATGTCGAAATAGTCCGGGCTGTAGTTTTATCCCACTTATATTCATGCTTTATATGTTAACATATTTCAATATGAATATGTTGTATAGAATTTTTAATATAATCTTAAAAATTAGTTTTCGACTTATTGTCTAGGATTCATTTGTAATTTTCAAGTATTGTTAAGTTTTTGTAAATAATTGCGTAATTCAGCCTTCGGCTGCGATGCAGTTTTAATAAACTATCTATCTATCTATCTATCTATCTATCTATCTATCTATCTATCTATCTATCTATCTTTAGTTTACGACTTGGACAGTGTAGCGAATCGAATCGTCCTGTTTAACGTCACCTTCCTTTAATTAATATACATAGGCACTTTACGCGATCGCCCGATTTTGTTAATCACTCAAATGATTAGTAAATGGTAACTGAGTGAGTGGAGTCCAATTCGGTCTGTAATCTTACAGGTGATTAACAAAATCGGACGACTGCGTAGCGGGAGTTCGATTTGTTTAATCACGAGTATGATTACAGAACGAATTGGACGACACGAAGTTCTGTTACCAGTCAATTAAAACTTTAACAAAATTTGTGATATATAAGGCTCTTTTTAAACTCAAAACACAAGAAATTCCACGGTGAATGGCGCAATGTATGGAAAATGGCGCAAAGAAAGAAATTAAACTGAAATGCGTGCGCGCGTCTTTGCCGCGCCTTTTTTTGACGCCAATTTGGGAGAGCAACTGCTCTGCTGGCCCATTTATTACTGCTAGCTCAAACCAACAAGGCAGAGTAGAAAGTAGCGATAAGCTTTACTGCATTCGTGATACTTAATTAATACTTAATATATTTTTGGTGTTCCCGACAATACTTTCTCTCTTTCTGCCCACCATTATAATATAGTCAAATGTCAAAACGCTAGAGGCAAAAGAACGGTTGTTGAACGTGAAGTCACGCTAGCTACAATTCTAGGGATTATTAATTAATACGGTTGACGAATCAGATCATAATTGAGACTAAATGAACGCCGCGAGTCAAACAATAATCAGTAATCTAGAAATCGAGTGAAGCGAACTGCTCTCTGTCTCCTTTCGGCCTTTCCGCGTGTCTTCGCACCTTCCTTGTTTGTGTGAGTGTGTGCGTTGATCGTGAAAAATGCTAAAACGGTAGGAAGGGAGAAAAAAAAAGAAAAAAAGACACATACTCAATTGCCAAGATTCGAACTCGCCCTTCTCCGCCAGCTGTTACCTTCGTGTACCGGAATCTTAACCAAGCAGCCAAGGGAACAAATTACAAGATCCGTTTCATCTCTGAAAATTATGTCACGATCACGTAACCCACCGTCTGAAAAAGAAGCACTTCTCACGTGGTTTCGAATACAAATATAGGTAAAAAGAAACTGTTAAGTTAATCGTGCAAACATGTTTTGCAGAAAAGATTAAAGTAGATTAAGGGAGCGTAACCTTCCAAAACATCCTTCCTTCAATGGCCGACTTTCGTGATGTAGTATCGTTGCTGCCATGCAGCCCGACTAATAAAGGCAAGAAGAATCTTTGTGGCTGTGCGGAAAATTGTCATCGTATGTCGAGCCCGCAACATTAAAACAGCGGCCGCGTTTGCAAATTGATTGGCGCCAAAAAGGGCGCGCGCTCTTTTCAGTTTAATTGATTTCTTTGGGTCACTCTGCGTACATTACAATCCGCATAATTATGTTATTCCGCAAGCCATGCCACATGCCATTCCGCAAACTCATTCCGCCTCTTACCCCCACCGGAAATTCCAAGATCGTGATGATGTGATGGCGCGTACTGTCCAATTACTTAGGCATGACGCGTACTGTCCTATCAAGGTTGAAATCAGGGCAGTTGATAACCAATTTTGGTAATTAACAGAGTTGAAATTTAAACGTTTAATACATTTTCGTTCTAACTAGCAAACGACCTGGTGAATTAGTGTCAGTTTTACATCAACTATTTCCAGAAAAAGGTTTTACACTCTTTGTATATCCACGAAAGAAGCCTTCTTCGTTATTTTTTTATGAGAGGGTTACAACACAGTAACACAATAACGTTGATTTATAGTGATTAAATGTGCTTTGCTAGATAGCCACTTTACATACATGCTACGAAAAGTAAAAAGAAAAAAAAACAAGATGTGTTTAATCGTCCAAAACCTTTATAATTGTAAGAATTTTTAATTGTAAATGTATTCACAATTATAAAAAACAAAACAAAAAAATAACCAGAAAGAAGGTGATTGCAGTGTGGTAGTCAACAGGTGTAGATTTTTTATAAAGTTCCTGCAAATTCTGAAACAGCTAGCATGGAACACTGACATGTTGTTTTTGTATCTGCGCAGGGACTAAAGTAAAATCACAAGGGATGCTCGCGGAAGAGTCACAAGAAGATGCTGAGGTACATGAGCAAGTGGCTGAGGTAGGAGAAAAGTATGTTGATGAAACTGCTGAAACTGAAACTGAAACCGAAGATGATGCAGAAGGGGAGAACGTTATTGAAGTAAAAAGTGAAGGTACCAGCTGGGCCTTCAAACAGTGGGCTGTTCACCTGATGTTTCCTCCTGATGCTGTACCTGAGCATACGTCAATCGTGGTCCACAAATGGAAATACAGTGTTCGTTCACCCCCACTGCAGGAACATGAAGCCATCACTAGCAATGTTAGTGAACTATCTTTGTTGAATGGCCAAGAACTAAAATTTAACACCAAGGTGAAGCTGTCGTTATCTCACAGCGCAACAGACGCACAGGGCTATGGGCCAGTAATAAAAAAGCTGATTGACAAGGAGACGAATTATTGGGAAGACGTGGATGGAACCAGGGACATACGTTGTCGTCAAGACTTCGAAGACAATCACCCTTCCCACATGAAAATAACGGACTTTTTCTTTCCCGTTGCTCAAGCTGATATATCTGAGTGCTCAACATACGCGGTAGTTTGCCGTCTCAAGGCTTCTCCAACTTACACCATCACATCTGGTGGCGGCTCATTCAGCCATCCTGACTTCCCAGACGTGACAGTTACAATCCCCGAAAATGCTTTTGCACCTAAAGCAAAGTTTTCGTTAGAGTTAAAGGTTCAAGAAGTTTCAAATGAAGGATTTGAAGTTGAGGGTAAATTTCTTGGACCTGTATTGAGAATCAAATGCTTTCAAGCTGTTCAGTTCTTGAAACCTGTCACGATTCAGCTGCCAATTTCTCTTCGAGAGCAACAAGACTTGAATCTTAACCCCACAACATGTCTCGTCAGAGTGCTGTTCCTCAAGTCCGATAATGACCAAAAAGAATGGATTGAAATCACTGATGATCTTGTGAAACCGCCAAGTCTTGATAGAAAGTTTGTAAGGTTCCATGTGGAACGGTTCTCTGCATATGCGCATTATGTTGAGAGCAGGAAAAACGAAAACTCCAGGTTTTATGGACAAAGAATTATAAACTTCCTTAACAGCCGCATTTTTGTTCCGCCCATACTGACAGTCTTCTTCGCTTACTTTCGTCCGGATCTTTTAAACATTTTGTGTCTGATCTGCTGCCCTGCTCATCTTAAAGGAGAGGAGCTAAGGCAGCTTGAAAGACAAGGCATAACGCCTATTTGCAAAAACTCGATAAGGCATCCGTGTTTGTATCAGGAGGAATACGCCCACAAGTAAAGAGCGACATGGAGGAAATTTATCTTAGGCTTTTAGAGCACAATCCAGACGATGCTGAGTTGGAGGTTCGTTTTCTTAATGACAAAATCGTAGGTCGAGTGGAATTTTATAGCATCTCAGAAGCCAGAGTGCCTCCATTGTGTAGATTGCACTTAAGAACGCCCACTAAGGGTACGGCCGCTCGTTCGGACTTACGGGAACTTACGCGTCAGCCTAGTGCACGAATGGAAAACAGTCCAACGGACGATGTACTAGAAAATCTATCAAAAAAAGTATCTAACGATTGGAGAACGCTTGGGCGACGGCTAACGTTCCATGAAGCAGAGCTGCAAGAATTTGGTAATATCCATGAAGAAATATCCGAAAAAGCATACGCCATGTTGTTAGCCTGGAAACGAAGGGGCGGCTCAGATGCTACCTACAGTGTTCTGAACCAAGCGCTGTGTGATACGCGCGTAAAGCGTAAAGATTTAGCACAAGAATTTTGTAGTTACTGAATTAGGTTTTTACTTTTTTTCCTTTTGACTAAATCGACAGCAATTTACATCGTACATCTTGTCGCCGGTTTAATTATCCCTTGCGTTTTTGTTCGTGCACACGCAAAATCAAGAGATACAAATACGTGCGTTAAATTAATTGTTTTGTATAGTGTTGAAGTAATGTACTACTTACAAAGAGCTTGGCTTCGACTTCTTAGAAAGCGCTTACATATACACTCCACCCTCTCTCTGAGTTTTTTTTATATACTATTTTCGTATACTCGAAGTCTCTGTGATATAGTCTATTATTACAGAGACCAAGCACCTTAATACACTTATTAAAACACGCTCAGCTTCAGTTCAAATGCTTTAATTTAAGTATACTCAGTGTAATACAAGGATTAGGTAGGTCGGTAAAGTCTGCATACGAGCCCGGGAGGTTCCAGGGGCGAACCTCACTATGGGTATTTCGGATGAAATCGAAGCCACGGCGATTGTTATTGATGAAAGGACGATCTTAGAGATTAAAGCAACGATTACATTCATTTCGATCAACTTTGACAACGTCAGTCGTGCGATGAAATTGGCAACAGAATCTGCCAAAAATTGTGCTGCAAGTTCAGAGTTTTTGTTTTGCCTATCACCTGTTGCTTTTTACTTGGGAGGAGCGCCAAGTAAAGGATTTGCGACGCTCAGGAATGTCCTAAAGTTTCCTTCGAATGTCCCGAAGTGAAAGCGGAATTAGTTCGAGATATCTCGATATCACTTCGAGTTCTTTGATTTAATCTTTATTTTATTCAAGGAAGAAATAATAATTTTTGGCTTGCCCGGGACCTGCGACCCGTCAGATCAGATGAGACTCTAAGTTGAGGGATCAGCCGATTGCGCCACTGCTCAGATCCTTTAATAGTGCATTGACAGACTGGAATTCCCTCCCAGAAGACATGAGATGTCTACCTAATAATGCTTATAAAATTTCAATACTTAAAACTTTTAAATCTCAATAAGTTCGCTTAGTGTGACATTTTTTAGTTCA